CCGGGTGGTGGAGCCTGAGCAGGGTCGACAGACCTGGTGATGGACAGCACGTGGTCACGAAGGAGGGCAACGCCCAGCTCAAGTCCCCGGGTTCTCGCTGGACTAAATGAGCACTCTGCACGGAGACAGGTAACTTACAGGGAGGAGCAGATGGGGAGGCAGGGGAGGATGTCTGTGTTTTAGATGTGTCTGAAGCACCTGGGACTTCCACTGGACAAGGCAGGCAGGTATAGGAGGCATAGGAGGCGAACTGGGCTAAGAAATAAAATAATGGGTTCCCAGCACAGAGGTGGCGATTGAAGCCGGGAAGGCTGAGTGTGCCGTGAGAAGGCTAGGGAAGGAGAGTGCACCGCTGAGGGCCCCAGAGGAAGAGGCGGCTTCAGAGGGGATGGGAGGGGGAGGGGACAGCTCAGTGGTGGAGCAGGGGCTCAGCATACAGGAGGTCCTGGGCTCAATCCCCAGTGCCTCCATTAAAATAATTAAAAAGCAAAAGATGGAAGGCACGCTGCTTGGTGGGACTCACTGGCGGTCAAAACCAGCGTCTTCCTGTCTCACCGCTCCTGGCCCTCCGCCCCAGCCGCAGGCTACCCCCACTTCAGGGGCTGCTCTTTTGTCCCACTTTCCCCTGTGGGGACAGCCGGGATTTTTTTTTCCGATTGGGTTACAATTCACGTAACATAAAATTCACTACGGCAAGCATTTTAAAGTGTACAATTCAGCGGCCGTCAGTCTATTCACAGCGTCGTACAAGATTCAATACCATCTAATTCCAGAACATTTTTGCTTTGACCTTTTAAGCCCAGAAAATGAATAGAAGGGGATGAACTTCATTACCATCAAAGCTCCCCATGCACCATAGGTATTCACGGTTTGGTATATAAAACCCCTCATTTTGTATTTTCTATTTATAACATTTTGCCTCCTCAAGGGCCATGATATTGTTTTAAAAAAGGGGGGGGGTCTGTTTTATCTGAGCCTTTACTAATTCCTGAGCTCCAATTCATTCTTTCGGCGTATTTTGAATCGCTTCTAGGCTGCTTAGTGCTGACAATACAGTGTGAACAGCGAGCAAGCCCTGTCCTCTGGGGTCTGCAGCCTCGCAGGGATGACACCAGCAACCGGGTTACTGCTACCGTGATGAGCGCCGTGGGGTAGGTACTAGGAAGACAACCGAGTCTGGGAGGCAGGTGCGATTCCTCCGAGAAAGTGGTGTTAAAGGTGAGACCTGGAAGGACGGTGGTTCAGGAAAGGGTGTCGCTGGGGTGTGGACAGGGCGGAGGAGGCAGTGCGCAGTGAAGCTGTGACAGAGCGAGAATGTTGGCCATGGGGACCCTGAAGCCCGGGACCTGCAGGAGAGTGGAGCAGGGTGACAAGGCACACAAGGCCGTGCTGACGATCGGGGACGTTATCTTCAGTGACCCCCGTGGAAGGCGTTCATGTGGGGACGACAGGGTCCATCCGCTGTGCGGAGGCACGTGGGAGGAAGGGCGGCTGCCTGGGTTAGGCTGGGCGTGAGGTCAGGGAGGGAAGAGACAGGCGATGCTTGGGAGGTGGAAGAGAGAGAGAAGGAGGCAGGTCTTGAGGATGGCTTAACAACAAGGCTGACGGTCAGATCGGGAGCTCTGGGGAGGAACACGTTTGGAAGGAAGTCACAGTTCCGATTAGGATGGACCGGGCTGGAGGCGCCCGGGAAGCCTCCGCGTGGAGATGTCGAGCTGGTAGCTGGGAGTCTGGCGGCTCAGCGGACACGCTCGGCCCCTCACACACAGACGTGACAGCACCGACGTACTTCACCACCTGCTTGTTTACCTGTCTTTCCTCCTCCCTCAGTGATGCTGGCTCAGCTCTGCCCATTCCTGGATGGGAGCGGCTCTCTCCCCAGGAACGTGTCCTGCTGTGGACGGCGACCCTCTCATCTAAGGCTCCTTCAGGGTAGGAAGGTGTTGCTTATCTCTGCACCCCCGGGACATGGGTTAGAAAGTCACTAGGTTTCTGACTGATGACTGACCAAGAGAACACACGAATCCATGACTGCGCTGGAAGCTACGTATAGGCACGGACTAGAGAGAGTGGTGGACATCCATTTAATTTTGTAGCACCCATTATCACAGTGGAAAATAACCTCTGTTCATAGAGAAACATACAAAATCATACAGGAGATCAAAATGAAGGCAGCTTGAGAAGCGCAGCACGAGGACATGGAAACATGGAGCATCACCACAAGTCAGCAGCTCCTAAAGCGCCGCTCCCGGTGGCTGGCCTGTCCTCCGCGAAGCTGCTGCGGGCAGGCCTCTGGGAAACGGCCACCGGCTGTCACGTGAAACACAAGAGCATGGAGCGGCTCAGGAAGTCAGGAGAAGCCGCCCTCTTCCATTTCCAGAAAAGGCCGATGAACTCAATCATTTCATTTCCAGTGGCGCCGTCACTGCTTTGATCTTTTCAATTCCCAACGGAGGAGCTGGTTTCCAGGAGGCCTCCTCAGCTAAATGCGGCTGCCTCCTCCTGGGCGGCAGGTCTTCCTCTAAGGGGTGCAGATGGCCAGGGCAGGCCCCCACTCACCCGGAGGCCCCAGCAGACCGAGCATCACGGGCCCGACCTCCAAACACAAAGGAAGTGAGACTTGCCCTCCTCCATTCATCGCCAAGTGCACAGGGTCCAGAAGGTGGAGTCTGAATTCCCAAGCAGGAAGTTGCAGAACAAAGAGGGAGAATGTCTCTCAGTCACAGCCTTGGGGACACGCAGTTAAGTCTGTCTCAGTTACAAGGGCAGAAAACAGTTTCACCATGATCAGGCCAAGAGGGTCACAAACTGTGAGACAACCCAACAACTGGTCTCTGCAGGGGGACGCAGAAAAAGGAAGCGGAGCAGCCCGCGGCCGGGAGAGAGGGGGCTGCGGGCACAGAGAAGAGACCCGACCAAGGACTGAGCCCACGCCCTGAAACAAGCAGCACACAGAGCAGAAGCCGGGCCGAAGGAGAGGAAAGCACAGGGCGGGGAGGGCGGGGGTGGGCAAGTGTCACAGGGAGGGGAGTCCTGGCCCAAAACGACCTGAGACGTATCTCCTTACCTGAAAAGGGGAAAGAAAAGCTGCTGGATCTTAGTTATTAATACCTTATATAAAACAGCGTGTTTTCCTCTCATGCATCTCGGGAGGAGGAAAGGCCGGCGCTCCGGGCTGGCGTCCGCGGTGACTAGGGGAGACCCGGCCCTCTGCCGCTTTATTACGTGGAAGCCCCCGTTCTCATGGTGCTAACGGCGGGGCATCAGCACGCTGAAAGTGGAAGAGACCAAACAGCCACAGACGGCGAACGCGGGACCTCCACGGAGGAGAAGCCCTGCTGCTGATGAGGCAGGATTCCCAGGCGAGGAACCACGACCAGAGCTGGCCGGTACACGTTTCACCTGCGTGACGCGCACCTTCGGGGGCGGGAACCCGCCCCTCAGCTGTGCCGGCCTCGGTCCACGTACATGCCTCGACGTGTGAAACAACTGCCTCTCCCACCTTTCGGGGGGCCGCTTCCGAGGGGTCTGTCATACAGCCGGTGACTAACAGGAAGACGGTGGCTTAGGGGCTGGTCTTGGCCGAGTCGGAAAGGACATGTGGGGATGCTGGCCTCCAGCAGAGGGCAGTGCCACCTCAAGGCGCCTCTTGCCTAGGACAGTCTCCTATCACTGAGTAAGTGTTCAATGGCGCAGAAATGGAGGGCTCGTCCTTACAAGTCACCCCGAGTGTCGACGGGCAGTCCTGCCAAGCCAGGCGAGCCCTAGAACAGTCCCTGCCACCCTGCACCCCGCCACGCGATCGCAATGGGACTCCAAGCCTTCATAACCAGAGGTGGAGACCATTAGCCACCAGGACTTGGGAACTAACGCTGCCACGCGGAGACACCAGCGGGTGGTGCTCTGCGGCCTCACGGTTTTCCTGAGTTTCCTGAATGTAAGGAGCATCTTCAGCTCTGCCCCCATCTGACCCACCTGGATTCTGTGCTGAACACTTAACACTTCCAGTCCAACTCAAAGGTAGGTTCTGCTGACCCGTGTGAGCAATAGCCATGCTCAAGGTATCTGTGGTAAGTTCTGTTTAACATCAGTTTTGAGACTGAAATCTTAAGTTCGGAATTTTGAAAACACATCCCTTAGAGGCAGTGCCAAGAGGGACCAGTCTTCACAAGTCAGCCCACTGAGAAAAAGCTGAGAATTCACGAATTTTGTAAGTACAGAACCTCATCACCACGTATAACAATGTCTCCACGAGAAAATTTGCATCACGTTTTCTGGACGTTAACTCTGGGGTGTTAGGAACTGGTTTTTATTTTTGTCCTTGCAGCTGGGGCCCTACTGGAGGGAGTCAGCAGCCCACCTCCTCCGTGGCTCTTCCCACCACTGAGAGGGGCCCTGGGGCCCGCCGTGGCTCCCGCAGAGCAGGGCCGCCCTGAGCCAGGGACTTGGGAGGCCAGGGGAGTGCCAGGGCGCAGGGGAGGGAGAGCAGGGTGGTGGGGGTGGCGGTGGCTTCCACCCCCTCCTCCCAGGCTGCCCTCTGGCAGAGGCAGAAGTCTTTGGATACAGGGGACACCTTCCCACCCTCCCTCCACGGGATGACGGTGGGGTATGGGGGTGAGGGAAGGGGCTTTCTGGTGGCACCAGCCGGGCAGCATTAGCAAAATATCGGTCAGGCTGGGACCTGCTCCTTCTACCCCAAGGTGGTGTCAGGACACCAGGAGCCATGAGCCTCGGACACAAGACACTGCATAACCACACCCCTTCAGTCCCACGTCCCTAAACTGTCGATAATAAATGCCAAGAGCTCACTTATACTTCCCCAGAGCACTCTCTGGGCCAACAGAGAACTGGTCACGTGCAGCTTGACAAGAACACGGGGCACAGAATCAAATTCCTGCAAGATGAGGGCCCCCTTCCAAGTTCTGCAGGGCGCCCAGAACACAGCTGACAATGAACACTGAACAGCCACTTCCGCAGGCATCAAATTGAAAAAGAATCTGTTTTAACAATCTCTACATTTTATTAGTGGCTGTTACTTTTAGCCCATCTTTTGATAAGCCTGACACTTATCTGATAACTCTGACAAGAGGGGATGAGCTCGGTGTGACTGTCGCTGACTGAACCAGAAGTGACGGGTCAGTGGTAATTCTGCGAGTTTAGAGTCCACATTCGATGGTGAGGCTGCTTCCTGGCAACCTCCTAAAACCCCTCTGTAACCGTCAGTGGAAAAGGAAGTCAGTGGTTTAGAAAACAACTTTCTTTGGCATTAATCCTACTCTTTCTTGTACTCTGATCGATGTTATTCATCATTTTTGCTTATTTTAATCATGGAATCCTCCTAAATTGGACGATGTGCCTTAATTTTCTAAAGCCCTGGCAAAACCAAATGGCACTTCCAGGAAAGCGTTGGGGAGACCACAGCTTCTCTCTTTTCTTCCCCCCAAACCTAGAAAATCTCATCTGCCTAGTAACAAACTCTCCCGTCCCCGACACCTTCTACAGGAAACCCTCGGAGAAGAACACTGGAGATTCTCGGGACCCGATTTTCCACTTGGTTTAAGATCCTTTAAAATCTGGATTTTAACGCACAGTTTCCCACCGAGCATCACCGTGAAGGAGCCCCCCTCCTCGGCTAGCGTGCTGCGTGGTGTCGCTGGGCCCTGTTTTCAGCTGGGTAAATGGGTGCTGAGGGAATTCCACTCCACCCACGGGCCAGGTGATTTTTATTTGTTTCTTAACTGAGCTTCCTCTCAGGGGTGAAACAGCCTGATAGAAAAGATGTGAAAGTAAATATTGAACTAGTTTTTAAAAGGCCACGGGCGCCGAGAGGGCCTTGGTGGACTCCCTGTCACGCCCTCCCGGGGCCCTGCTCACGCTGCCAATTCCTGACTCCGCCCTCCCAGCAGCCACTGGGCTTTGCGCTTCCTTCAGAGACACCCGAGTGACGGCCTCTTTGATCGTGTAGAGACTACACGAGTGTCTGAGCAAGAAAGACGGCACGTGGGGTCTGAGGGGCATCGCCACACAACGTAACAGGCTGTCAGTCCGCCTGCGTCCTTTACAGCAAGGAAAGTGACAGGCTGTTGGGTGACCCCTCTGTGCCGCGTCCTTCTGAGCCGTGGGAGTGCCCCCCGTCACAGCGGCCCTTGTGCAGGACGACTGTCTGGGGCCACCACGAATCTTGGTTCTGATTTCAGCGGTCAGCAGTATTTAAGGGAGAGGGCACTTTTATTTCCATCGCATCACACATGAGTCCACTCTGATTGCAGGCTTTGGCCCTGGTCCCTGGAGGAGCCTATGACATATTTTTCCCAGTTTTTCCAGATTCAAATGTTAAATTAAAACAGATGTGCAAAACTAAAGGAAAATCCGCCACCAGAAACATACCCCACCCCTGCACAAAACCACCAGCTTTGGGGAAAACCAGTGTCTGCTGTTCCACGTCCTTATCCTCAACTTAAACAAGGATGGATTCTCATCGCTCCTTTTTTTCGGCGGGGGGTGGGGCAGGTAATCAGGTTTAACTATTTACAGGAGGCCCTGGGGTTGAACCCAGGACCTAATCACGCTAAGCGTGTGCTCTGCGGCTGAGCCGTGCCCTCCCCCCACTGCTCCCTAACCCGGGCTGCCTCGGCCCTGAGGGGCTGGGGAGGAGGCGCAGGTGTCAGAGGTTCCTGCGGGGGTCCGCGCGCCCCCGCCTGGGCCACTCCTCGTCCACCCACCTGCGCAGCACCTTCTCCACGTCGGCCCTGCGGTAGAGCCTGCACAGCTCCACCAGCTGGCCCACCGTCCGCTGGCTGTTCCGCAGCAAGAACTCCAGGGTGGGGCTCTGCGGCCTCTGCTCCAGGAAGCAGAGCTCGTCGTAGGGCATGCCCCACTTGCTCGCAAAGTTCCTCCAGTTTTTGACCGTTGGGTGACAGGGGTCCAGCTTTATCCTGATCACGTCCAGTAAGTCCTGGTCGTTGAGCAAGTCGCTGATGGTGGGGGCCCGGAGGGAGCAGGAGGAACAGGTGCCATTCTCCGCGCAGGACGCGGCCTGGCTTCTCTCTGCAGAACAAAGAACATGGCCCACAGGTCAGTGAGGGGCCCGAGACAGCGTCTGTCTCCTCCGTCCTCTGTTCTCCAGCTGCCTGGTGGACAGTGTCAGCACGACTGTGACAGAGGAATCCTGCAGGCCACCCATTTCTAGATACGCACCAACGACCTGGTGTTCTTTACAGCTACCTGGCTGGAAGCAGTGGGAAGATTTCACAAAGTCAGTTCTCCCCGCTCCCTGAGCGCCTCTGTGGCCTGTGATGTGCGTCTGTGAGACTGCTGGCCAGAACCAGGGCTCCACGGGGCAGAGCTCCCTCCATGGGCAGGGCGCCCGTCCCGCGGGGGCCAGACTCCGTCCTCATCCACACCTCAACCCTGGCCCCTTCTAACTTACAAGCTGGCCCTGACAGGTTTTGAATGCCAAACACAGCATGTTAGGGTGTCAAGGATTGCACAAGTCTCTCAAATGTCTTTTAAAAAAACATGGAAATTGAACTATCCACTTCCTGTGCATATTTGAAAATAAGTGATAAGGGATAATGCCAGAAAACTTACTTTTTAAATTTATGGCCACCTTATCATCCCTTTGCCTTTATCTGTGTTTTCTTCACCCACGGGGATGCCTCTGAAGTGGAGCCAGCGCCTTGAGGTGCGTGCAGGGGGCTGGGCGAGCAAGTGGCTTCGAGCTCAGCCTCCCGGGGAAAGCGGCCCCGCCAGGAGGAAGGGCCGCCCTCTCCCATCAGTCACTTCTGGCTCCGCCAGGAGGTAAGCGGTAAGCAGGTTAGACGTGAGAGGCCAGGAGGTAAGAGGCAAGTCAGTTATAATAAAGTTGTAAACAGGGTCTGCTCAGCATGGCCACCCAAGTGACTTCAATTCTGCAAATTTAAGAATCTAGGCACTGTATCTCCTAACCTCTGGCGAGGGATATTAGCAGCCAAAGGCGACGCCTGGAGATCACCAGCTTGGAAAATTCTGAGAGGTTATGTGACCTTTACTACACTGAGCCACGGGCTTCCCAATTTAGGAAAGTAAAGAATTGTGGAAAAGGCGGGAGAGGGTATAGCTCCATGGTAGAGCGCATGCTTAGCATGCATGAGGTCCTAGGTTCAATCCCCAGTCCCTCTGCTAAATAAATAAATAAATAGCACCTAGTTATCCCCCTCCCCAAGGAAAATTTTTTTAAAGCCTAAAAAAAAGAAAAAAAATCATGTGTTTAAGAACTGGGAAAAAGGGAGTCACTTTGCTGACTGTCAGGTTGAGAACCAGCAATCTGGAGGCAAGTACAAATTAAAAGATAACAAAACCCGTGAGAATTGTATTTATACTCTTTGATCTATTACTGCAGCTTCTGAGCATCCAGCCTAAGAAGCTCATTTAAAATATGTAAATAAACTATGCACATACGAGCATTTTAATCACAGTCTCATCCATACCCATTTTTAAAAACAACTTAAAAATCAAAGTGAGGGGAATAGGGAAACAAACTCTTGTACGACTTGACGGAATATCATTTTAGTAATTATGACGCCTATGTAGCCACCTGGGCAACGTCTGTGCTGTCATGTTAAGCGGAAAATGCAAGATGAGGCGTTTAGGAACTCAGTAAAACCCGGGGGAAATTCTGTGCTCCTTTAGCTGTGGAGAGAGATGTACAAGACAGCCACAGCCAAGGTGCTGATGTGGTGGGGTTGCGTTTGTTTCCCCAACTTTCTCTCGCGGTGTTACATTTCTATGATAACTAATACGGAATTATATTTACAAACATACCATTTGGTACAGAGAAGACTTATCAACCGGCCTCCCTCCTCTTGGCCAGGCTTCACGCACGCCCTTGGGCCTCCTCCTTCCTACCTCCTCCATGATGCGTTTCATCAAGTATCCCCTCTCTTGCCCTCACCTCCAGCCACCCGTCCCTGCTGAGTCTCTTTCCTTTATCTACACATACATACGGGGCTCCTCTGCCATAAAAAAGTAAGAACTTCAAACTGCCCGCCTCTGGCTTCATAACTGGCTGAAGCCACTATCTCTCATTCTCCCTTATTCACAGTTAGCGAGGAGGAGAATTCAAGACCTGCACCTCCAGTGCCTCCTCATGGTCTCCATCTTCCTTGGCTTTGAGCGGCGTCTGGCCCAGCCTCGTTCCCGCCAAACCTCGGCACGGCGGGACCCAGCTCCCTGCACCCCAGCTGTGGGCTAAGGTCTAGTTCTGATGGAGTGGGGAAATCCGGAGAGGCAGACCCCCTACCCGACTCTGAGGGTCACCTGGACCTCCTGCTGCTGCGAACGCCCCATCACAGCAGCTCCCCTAGGACCTGGCTGCCTCTGGAACTGGGCCCGAGACTCTTGCCCCTTTGGACACGGTCTACTGCACTGCAGGCTGTTTTCCCTGCAGGTTCCTTCTGGCAGCCAAGCCCCACATCCCCAGGCACATCCTATCACGTCCAGCCACGTCCCTTCCCTGGTCTGCCTGACATGCTGAGATCCCCGCCTGTCTCATTGCCGAGTCCTTGGGAGGGACCAGGGGGACTCCAGTCCTAGTCTTAGTCCGAGGCTCTCCCCTTCCACATCCTGTCCGTCTGGTCATCTCCTCCACACCCAGCAACCTCCACAAAGTGCTCCAACTAGAACGGAAGACCCTTTCTTTTCACATCTGCAGGACCCAGCACAGCCCTGGGCGTGCAGTGGATGCTGCCCGCTAACCTGGCTCCAGAACTGACAGCTGGACAGCTCCTCTTGCTGTCCAGAGGACACCGCCAACCCCAAGAACCCAAACCAGTACGTACATCTCCCCCTGTGCACCCAAAGCACCTCAGTTCCCCTATTTACACTCGCAATCCCCCAGCGTCCTTACGGACTTCTATCCAAGCAGCCACCACGTCAGGGCCTCCCCTGGAGCTGGCCCTGCCACTCCTCCTGTCCGGCTGCCCATCACTTCCTTGAGCGTCATCTGTGCTCCAGACAAGCTGGACGACTCAGGTGCCTAAGCAGACAACCTGCATTTCTTTTAAAGCCTAATTAAATACATTTTTTAAAATCTAATATACGCTCAGCAGAGAAAATTTAAAAATTATATATGATTATAAACTTTGTATAAACATGAACATTGAGGGTCTTCCCACCTTTCTGTGAACAGGATTAACAATTCAATGCAGACCCTTACGTGTACATTTTTGGCCACATCTTTAATCACTTCACCAGTCATAGGATTATTAGGCCAAAAGGTATGAGCATTTTAAGGCTGTCAGTGCCCAAGCCCCAGACTGCTCCCGGGAATAAACGCTGGACCGATTTACACTCCAGCTGAGCTCGTGATGGCCCTCAGCAGCACCAAGTATTGGTTTCAGAAAACTTTGTCAGCTTCACAGGTGGAAATTGATGCAGATCTCATCCATGCCTTTTCCCATGTTTCCCCCGGTCAGTCTTCTCTCTCCCTTTCGCGGAACTTCCCTTTAGCTACTGAACTTCATCCACCCCGTAACCCCCACCTCAGAGACAACGCTCCCAGCTCCTGCCTGGGACGCTGTCTCGCTCAAGTCCCACCGCTTCATTTGCCCCTCCTGACCCTGCCCTGCAGTGAGACGTCCTGTACAGTCTTCTTATAGGGGCTGTTCCTCATTACACCTTAAACACCCTGAGAACAGGCCCACAGCCTTCTGTAATGTGCTCTGTGTCTGAGAGTTTTAAAATGTCGAATTACACTCCTATGTAATACAGTGAAGGTCATCCTTCAGCTCCATTAGTAATGGTGTATAAAGAACTAAGACTTTGGCCACATGGTGGGACATTTTACTTAAAAAAAGGACTTTCTAATGGTGTAGGTAGTTTTGCAGTAAAAGGGGGAATGAGGGAAAGAAACTGTGCAATTTTCTCTGCCCTTATTTATTATGAAAATAATATTCTGTCAAGTTGGGAAGAAAGTTGAGCAAAGGGTATGTATAATTCAGTTTTTGTAAAAACAAATAATACAGGCATTCACATCCATGTTATACACACACTCAGGGGAACAGGAAAAAATCTGGAAGTAGGTACAACAAAAATGTTAACAAGGGAGTATTTCCTAATTTTCTATAGTTATTGTGTTTGTTTGGATACTTTAAAAGTATTTTTTAAGTTACAGAAAAATAAAGTGGGGTCTCCACCTCCAAGTCCAGAATTAAGTGCATTGGTGTCTGAAGGTCCACCTGTAATGAACCTCTGTGAGATTCAGAGTCGGCAGTGTCTTCTCCTTCAGCACCAAGAAGAGGAATGAGCATCAGGCAGGCGGCCAAGAAGCCCCTCTGAGCCTCCCAGTGCATGAGCTTGTTTCTCTGAGCGACTACGGTGACCATCTATCAGCTAGTTTTAAAACACACGAGGTGCCACAGATCTATTGGTGCTTTCCTTTTGTTTTTGCCACGACACAAATAATAAGCCTCTTACTGAGCTGGAATCTATGCAAACTGCCAAAAGTCGTGAGTTTAAAGCTGCCTTTTAGAATCATAAACTATAATTAGCTGAGGACTTCAGCAGAGAAACATGCCTCTTTTCCTATCAAATGCATTTTGTCCCGCCCTGCTATAAACACCTGCCACGTAACAGTGCACATGAAAGGACAGACTGGGTGATGCCTGGGGGAAGAAACAATCCTGGGGAAGGAGAGAGACTTAGGACCAGAGACGTTTTCATCAGAAATGGGGAAAAAGGGCTTATCATTTGATGCCTGTCAAGGGGCAAGCACAGAGTTGCTGAACAGTAGAAACTTGAAAGCTGTCTGCTCAATGAATGAATGAATGAGAACTGTGCTTTCTCCTCAGGAGACAAGGTAGGTCTGTTATTACCGTTTTTTTAATAATTTAATTTTATTTATTATTATATCATTTAATTATTCTATTTACAGGGAGAAGTAATTAGGTTTATCTTTGGTGGAGGTGCTGGGGATTGAACCCAGGACCTCATGCATGCTAAGCACGTGCTCTACCACTTGAGCTATACCCCCCCCCCCGTTATTACCATTTGATGAATTTTAGGATCTG